TACCTTTATTGATAGACAGTTAGTCGAAGACACTGCCTTTTTTGTTAAAAATGGCTTCTAATGAATTTAACTATACTTCATCCAAAATAAGTACGTAGCTCTTCTATTAAGTAATTACTAGAGAATTTTTCGGGTCATTCGGGTCCAGTTTTGAAAATTTCGGGTCGGGTTCGGGTTAATATAAAAAATATTGAATCGGGTCGGGTCGGGTCGGGTTCGGGTAAAAAATGTTCGGGTCGCGTCGGGTTCGGGTCATCCACGTAAGACCCGATTCGGTCTCTGACATGCAAAGCGGTTTTCTTAAGCAACTATGGTGATCACCCGCAATGTTAAAACTCATATGATCACCATTATTGCAACAAAACTTTTATTTCATGCAGAATCAAGGCCTTCCGAGACCTAAGAGTCTCGATCTCGGTATATGTCTATGAACAATCAGGTAGTTCGAAAATTGAAAGTTTCTTATTAAATAGATCATCGATTTTTAATCGAAAAACAACAATCGTAAAAAACAATAATTTCAATTTTTGTTTTATTTCGAACAATGGGATTTTGATTATTCGAAATGATGTCTCACACAGTTTGTCATCTGTTGCACAAGGCAGAATCGCGGATAGTTCACTTCTTTGACGATCTTACCTGTGTAATTCAACGAACGCTTTGTTCGCTGCGTTTTCGTCGTTTGTGTTTACGAAATCTTAGCTTAGCTGAGTTATTTAATCTTTGACACAATCAAATATCATCAGCTGCCATTTTCTGGACCGATCTATTTCGATGTGTATTATTACTGTCAGAATCAGCATTGTATTTTATCTTTCGAAACGACAATGTCTTCTTATTCGTGGTTTACTTGTGCTGCTGAACGAGTGTCTGTTTTTCTTCTAGATGGTTATAAACGCTAAATTTTTGTTTATCGGTGCGCTGAAGCAATTTTCATAAAAAGGATAATCTTAAGTTGTTACTCACGAATATGTCCTTATTTTCTCGATCTGATAAAGTTTCCAAGGAGAAAAACGCAAAATACTCCGAGGGTGTGAAAATCCGCAAAAAGCTTCCTTAAGAAAAAATAGGCCTTAGGTCTTTGCCATTCAACGTTTCGTTCTCACCATTATGATTTTTGAATTCCTCATATAAAAACAAGTCTAGAATTGTTGTCTAGAGCCTTATCGCATATTAAATGTTCAAAGTAAAAAATCATCCTACACTATAGCTTCGCTGGCAGCGGCCAATTTCGCAAACCCATCTAGTTTTTTGTATTAAGAAGTAGAACCTTCATTCATATTCCGTCTGAATCGTCGTTTCATGCGCAAAAATAATTCGCATTGCTTCTTTTGAAATTTCTCTCCATTACTGAGAAATTTCATCTTTTCTAAATCAGAGGTAAAAAGTCGGAATTCTGCCTATACTATTTTTTGGTGAAAATCTCAGCCATTTCGAAATACGAAATTCACTCATTTGAAAAATCGAAAAAACCAAAAGTGACCAGATAAGATAAAAAGGTACATCACTCGGCTCAGTTTTTGATGCTGACTCCGAATATGTTACTTATATTGCATAATAAATAAATTCTGGTTGAGAAAATTCAACAGTACAGGCAGAATTCTGACTTTTTACCTCTGATTTAGAAAAGATGAAATTTCTCAGTAATGGAGAGAAATTTCAAAAGAAGCAATGCGAATTATTTTTGTGCATGAAACGACGATTCAGACGGAATATGAATGAAGGTTCTACTTAATACAAAAAACTAGATAGGTTTGCGAAATTGGCCGCTGCCAGCGAAGCTATAGTGTAGGATGATTTTTTACTTTGAACATTTAATATGCGATAAGGCTCTAGACAACAATTCTAGACTTGCTTTTATATGAGGAATCCAAAAATCATAATGGTGAGAACGAAACGTTGAATGGCAAAGACCTAAGGCCTATTTTTTCTTAAGGAAGCTTTTTGCGGATTTGCACACCCTCGGAGTATTTTGCGTTTTTCTCCTTGGAAACTTTATCAGATCGAGAAAATAAGGACATATTCGTGAGTAGCAACTAAAACTGAATCTAGACGTGTGTCTTAAAGCTAAAAGTAAAAAGTGTTGAAACTTTGAATCGGCGGCGCTTTATGTTGTTTTTTGATTTTTTTCAAGTTATAAACAAACACATCTAAAACACGAAGTATTTGTAATACGATTGAATATCAGATGCTCTTTCAGAATTATTTGTAAGTGTTTGATCACAATCTACTTGTGCCTAATAACAATGGCCTGTCTGAGTTCCTACAACAAAAACAGCCTTCTTGACAGTGTTCAGGTTCTTCGTCCAACTGAATCGCTTTACCACATGCTATTTAAACTCGAAGTAGAAAGAGAAATCCGTTTCTACAAAATAGTGCAAGAATGAACTCGGTTTGGCCGTATGTGACATTTCTAGGATGCTCTTTTAAAAAGCAGTCGGTAACGAAGAAAGAAAATTTCGTCATACTCAAAAAGGTCTTTTCAGTAAGTGTCGTGTAACCGAAGGAATGAGCATTATAAAACTTCGTATTTATGCATAATCGACAGGGCTTTCAAGAACTATCTAGCAGTGAGTTATGTTTTAAAAACTAAATATTCGTTTGTATAGAAAAAAATAAATCAGTAAAAGAAATATGTGGGAAATAGAAAATTGAGGTAAATAGAAGACAATTTCATTGAAGTTCGTTGAGCCATACAAAAGTTATTGGAAAAATAGAGACCATGACTGAATTTCAAAAAATGGAATTTTATTTTGAAGTCCACAGACGTCCCTAAGAATATTGTTTAATTATGATCAACTCAAATGCTCTGTGTATTAAATTGTGAAGCTCCATAATATTTTTTTCTTAAAAGAATTTCTTGTTTCGTGCGTAAGTTTCGTGGTGCGGAACTTTCCATGCACAACTTTCACCGCGTGCCTCTTCTCGGGTCCCAGGATCATCATGTAGATATGCCCGTATTTGTTGTTTCTGTAAAGGACATTATTCACATCAGCTTTGCACTGGTACTGATGCACAGGCTAATATACTACCATCACCATCATAATAATTGTTTTTATTCAGTTTCAATATTCATTTTGTTCATATTATTCATATCGTATGAATCGTTTGAATGTAAAAGTAATTACTCAGCTCGTTCAGCATCAGATATGGCCGATAAGTTAATGGAATAAGCAGCCAGTAAAGGTTTCTGTTAGGACCCTTTATAGTATCACCCAATAGTATTCATCGTATAAGTACAATCGGTACAGCAATGAATACTGATGTGGTATTAGGTCATCTGACTAGACAGATTTTATCTGCACACTCAGGTTGAGTTATTTAAAGTGTTCCAAATTATTGAGTATAAGTCATACACAACTTCTAGGGTGGTTGATATCCGTCATAGTTTCAACAACTAGCCGATGGTCTGCCCTTACAAGGTTTTCTCTTCTTCCAAACACACTTTTGTCTTGTTCTTTATTCAGATTTGAATCACTTTCCTGTTGATGAACTCTCACTTGATTCTTTTTTCTCTCTCTTCTTCCTCCACTTTCTATCACTATGGCACTGTCGCGCATTATGTTACCTTCTTGTTTACATCTTTCTGAAAATGTTATATGATTTTTGTATGTTCTGTATAAAAAGCCATTTGCAATTGATTAGTGAAGAAGTGTGTTTTATAACAACTTCTTTATTTACTGAAAGATCACGAGACCAATAGTGACGCATATCGATGAGTTGAGAAGAACATTCATATGTTCTTCTATGAGAAGGAAGAGAGGCATTCATTTCAAAATAAGTAATTGTATGGAAGTTTCGAAGACTTAAATAACACAACCAACTATGCTAAAGGCAGTGAAACGTTCCTAATAGTAAAATAATGTTTTGATTCATAAATTATGAAACCATTTTGGTAAACACATTGCAGCGAAAAGGTCATTCACTTATGTTGTTTTCAATTAAAAAAGAAAAAGGAAAGATAAAAATATAACACAATGCGGGACTCTACCGTGTTTAGTGATGAAGGAAGTGGAATAAAAAAGAAGAGAAAAGAATCAATTAGTCATTACTTGTTTCATATTATGTTAGGTTTTTCCTTTCCGTCTTCATCTTTTTAAAACAACATAACAAAAAACGTCGCGTAAAGTTACAAATGTCACAATATGAATTTAACCACTCTTCTCCCAGCGATATGCAGCAATCTTTTCTAAATTTGGAGGACGATGCAGTGAGTATTGATTCGCGATCAAGTACTAGGACAACTAATCAAGGGGCATTCATGGGACTTGAAAGTGATGCCATCACTATGAGTATACCACCAATAATAGGCTCAAAATTCGGCAGATTTGACTCTATAGATACACCTGCTATATCTTCCAACTCCAGACCAACAATATCTCTAGTAGTGCCCCCGTATTCCAATGCGGGACACGAACCGTTCACGAATATAACAGAGAAAACTCACCAAGATTTTATACCAATAACAAACGAACACAATAGGCAAATCCCCAGGCCATCAGCCACCCGAACAATAGATGATCATACTCAGGATTTTCCAGATTTGGTGTCCGACAGTCTATCACAGAAATGCGCTGTAGTAGATGTGCATAACACAACTGCGCTTCGGTACGACACAAGTATTACTGGTTTCATCATACAAACACCGGCTGATATAAAGTAAGTGGAAAACATTGCTCAAATGAAAAGTTTAAGTCATTTCTGGTTTTAGTCTCATCTTTAACTATGTGGAGCATGGCAATTATGATGCAATTCAAAAAGTGTTAAATTCTCATTACAAAGAAGCTGTTCAAATGAGAAATGATCGAAATCAGGTAAAATTTTTCGACAAAACTTTTAATCTAAAGGTCCTTCGAGGTTTCCTTTTAGACCTTGTTGCATGCTGCAGTTATATATTCATTTCAATATGTATCTCTTCGGTTATTGTTGATGCGTGGTGCAGATCCCTGTGCACAGGACAAAGATGGTTATACTCCTGCACATTATGCTGTGGAAAGAGATGATGTTGAGATGCTAAAAGCACTCATCGTGAGACTTCATGCTAAGGTCAAAGCATTTTCAGATCGCGAAGTAAGCAAAATTCACGAACGATGTCAAGAAGCATTGATAATTAGAGAAAATCGAGGTGGAATGACACCATTTATGTTGGCTTGTTTCAAACAAGCAATTAATTGTGCGCGATATATACACAACATGGGAATAGATCATGTGATGAGACTGGTAAGCTTTATATATTCACGTTAATTGAGAAAGAAATAGCAAAATAGAGGAAGTTTTCTTGGGTATTTGTAAACTACGCTACCACCCACAACCACCCACAAACTAACTTTTAATTACATGGTTGGACAGAGGATGCCGAGTTGGCTTCACAACCACCCATATTTGTTTCTGTCTTAGCTTTGCTGGAGTACGGGATGACTGGGAGATATTCGTAAAACATACAAACACGCAAAATGTATTCACACGCACACACACACAGAAACTTTAGAAACCTTTAGTTACATGGTTGGATAGAGGATGATGAGCTGTCCTCACATCTGTCTATATCTCATGCAGAAATTGCTTGTAAAGAAACAAGGGGGGGATATCGTTTATATATACACATATATAGAGCCTTCAAAGTCAGCTGATGGTGAGTCATTATCTATTTTATCACTAATGAACTATAAATATGAACTTATGAACACTTTAATACTACGGTCTGTCCAAAACTTCAGTGGACTCGGATATTTTTTGAATAATTCGAGAACGGATTGAGCTAGAGAGCAACGGTTTTCAGATTATGAAAGAGTACGATCGGGGGCATAATTCTATGGCAAAATGAGTCTTATCCGACAGGTCTACCATGGTGTACTTTTCGAAAGAAAAAGTCCGGGTCTGTCATTCCAGAAATACACATAGAGAATTATTGCACTAAATGCATACCGATATAGAGCAGATGTCGCTCTACAATGTGGCACAAGTCCCACACCTGCCTCTACCATGGTCCGGATACCACAGGGAATCTCCGAGGACCAATCTGTTGGTCAACTCTGAGCTCTAGAAACTTCAAAAACATCTGATACATATGTTATCGGACATGCTGATTACTGTGGCAATGTTTATTTTATATCCGGGTTGAGAAAACTGATATACCATCATAATATCAACAAGTTTTTCACTGTGACCATACTAAAATCATATTTTCTGAAAAAGTCATCTATTGCAGTTTTCTTAACCCGGATATAAAATAAACATTGCCACAGTAATCAGCGTGTCCGATAACATATGTATCAGATGTTTTACGAATGTCTTCCAGCCATCCCGTACTTCAGCAAAGCTAAGACAGAAACAAATATGGGTGGTTGTGAAGCCAACTTGGCATCCTCTATCCAACCACGTAATTAAAAGTTAGTTTGTGGGTGATTGTGGGTGGTAGCGTAGTTTACAAATACCCAGTTTTCTTCGACTTGTTTAAGCTCTATTAAAGATGTTTTTTATTTTCGATCAGGACAAACATGGAGATACATCATTACATTATGCTGTAGCTCGAAGTGATATGGCCATGACGAAGTTTTTGATTGTCGAATGTAAAGTTGATGTGAATGGTGGTGATGAGAAACGTCCTAGTCCATTGGATATTAGCATATTCAATGAGTGTTCAGAAATAAAAGAGCTTTTAATAGACAATAATGCTAAATCACGTTGTCTACTAAAACGTATTGTTCAGAAACGTAAAGATATCCAAAACGATATTGGTGTCAGACTTGAAGGATTAACACTTGCTAATGCACCTCCTATTAGTACGCCTACTCTAACAAGCATGTCGTCTTTATCGTTAGAAAACGATAATCCGGCACCGAAAAAGGTAAAGTCAGCTTGACCGGTAACTGATCTTGTCAAATCAATCAACAGAATTCAGCAAAAATAGTGATGATGACAATATTTTAAAATATTAATAGCAGATGGTAAATATTTCTCTCGAACATAGCAATGCTGACACTCCACATTCTGATCTAGGAAAAACAAGCCAAATCAACAAAATTTACAGCACAGTTGACTTGAAAAGAGCAAGTAAAAATCGTATGGTAGAAGATAGGAGGGTAAAAGAAAGCAGAAGTTTTGATTTCCTTTGCTAATTTTGAAGTTCTATTGGTGATGTGTTTTGAATCGACATAAATTGACATATGTATTCTATAGCAATTTTGATCAAACAATTGGAAAATGTAAATTATTTGGTTTTGCATGATGCATGGACACTGCAAGAAGAACAAAAAAATATCGCCAGCGTTTGACGCTCTCAAGAAATTAGATAAGTAATTGTCATTGGTGAGAGACTTCGGATACTTTATCAGAAACAGTTGAGATTTCATTGATTAATACCCTTAAACAATGTACACGTCACAAATCGACGTTCTTGATCGAATACATACATGTTTCTCGTTTTCTTGTCATTCTTGCCAAGTAAAATGAATGACAAGAGTTTGACTTCCTCGCTAGAAACAACAGATTTCTTCTTCTTTTTGCTGCTGTTCGCGAGAATCTTGATATATTAAAAAATCGGCATGCTCCATTTACTTGTGGTCCGGTTCTCATGCCTAAGTAACCTAGCTATATCATGCAGATGAGCCCGTAAACATTTATACATGAGAATCACGATTACAAGTACAGCATGAAACATATCCATTAGTCATCAACTTTAAATAAGGCGGAACAACACTTCACATACATATATATATCACAGTCACTGTTAACACTTTCATTTTGCTAAGAAGTCAAAATAAGTGACTTTTTTTCCTTTTCAGGGTCAACGAGTTCGCAAACTCTGTCTAACACCTTGTTATTTTTATATCATACATCTGTTTTCTTGCTTCTCGGGTTGCTTATTTTATATAGAAATTTACCGCTTTGGACATGTACGAGATATATTACAATGGAGAAATCAGAAAGCTTTTTCAAAAACTTCTGCTAAAGTAATATAACATCTGAACATCAGAATAAAATCACAGACAAAAGGCACAAAAAGTTCTATATAAATGAGAAACCCTATGCCTACATCCGAGTTTCACATCTGAACCAGAAATGGATTCTGTAAATACGATAGTCGAATTTAGCATAAAAAATAACCTATACACTTTTATTTTCATAAAATTTGGTGTGTACTATACTAAGAAAATACCTCGAAATACCATTAGTTTTTCAGAGACCCAAAGTTTAAACATCCTCCTAAGGCCGCTATATTTCTGCATCAAAGTATATAGCATTGTTAGACTAGCAGGAACTGTCCTTTAAATACACAACTCGTGTTGTATTACAGGCTTGACTTGACAGTATGCAGTTCACATATCAGTCTGCCGTCCTAATTTATTTGTTGTTACTTATTTATATTTTCTGTATTATCCCCCCCCAACGTCGATTATTTCTTTCACTCTTCTTCTTTTACTAATTTTCACTTCTTACACATAAATGTTCGTTTTGTTGTTTTTCTTTGGTTTTTAAGTGTGCTTAAAAGTGTGTTAAATGACAGATAATGTCTTCTGTAACCATTTTTTCTTTTTACTTTTGTTCACATTGATACTGTTGTTTAAACATTCAAATTTATCCTTTTTACACTTATAATGGGCGCTCTGCGTCCGATAGTATGACATGATTTATTTATGCTCTTTTCTTTTCATTAATAAACAGTTTATACAGGAACAAACAAAAAAACGTTAGAAGCTAGGCAAATCCGCTGGAGAAAACAAGGAAATTACACTGTTCCTATTGAACAGGAAAGTCGTTATAATTGTTTACAGGCATTACCCCCGGACTGACGGTTTGCACACCCAGGCTCAGCTCTGCAAAATGAAGTTGACCTTACGGTTTGCACCGACAGTCGATGTAACGGGTTGGGCAGAGAAAACGACGCCACTTTGCAAAATTTTTCCTCAAGTTAAACTTGATCATAAAATTTCATTTTTATGTCAGAAAGATAGAGAATTGTGTCTAGATTTTATTCATACATTGTTGTTAAAAATAAGCATGTCCCGTTCTTTCACAACAGTAAAAATACTCGAACCCACGAAAATCTCAACTGCAAAATCAGAAAAATTCAAAATGTAACTTTTCCCCCTTAAGTATTTTGTAAAAATTTGGTTCAAGATCTATAAGACGCAGAATTTTTCGTAGTGTATAGCTGCGTGTTGTTTCTTATATGCTTATTTATTACTGTTTTATAAAATGGAAAACAGCAAAAAGACATCGTTGACCGACGAGATGGTACTTTATTTTGGAGACTTCCTCAAAGTCCTGACTTATAAAAATTATTGTTTTTATATCAAAAGGTACAGAATTTCAAGTTCTACAAAATGCACTTCTTTCTATGAGTTGCATCGTTTTGGTAAGAGATGACAGAGTTGAGATATCTTCCTATGGAGGGAATGGCGCCAAACACAAATAATGACCCAATTGCGTAGGCTGCTTTTACGGCTCTAAAACTTTGTCGAAGAATATCGTTTTGTGCTTCAACAATTAAGAATTTATTGTAGTTTGTAGTACCGTGTTTGAATCGCGCGAGCAAAACTTCTATGAAGATATAAATCATTTTTTTTTCTAGTGAAGTGGTGAGCAGTTCAGATTTTTGAGACTTCCGATCTTTTGAGTACAGTAAAAAGACGATTAGGATACATCTTAATCTAAACAAAGCACTAGAAACTAGAGAAAATTCTGTATCGTTTAATCATTTTTTCTGCCCAACCCATTAATGGTGTTTTATATGAATTTACTCATATATATATTGTACTATGTAGATTTTTGATGAAAATTTTGAAATAAATTCCAATATTTACTTAGAAAAAGCTAATAAATACTCATAAGAGATGAATATTTGAGAAAGAACATTCGATTATTCATGCAGATATAGTTCAGATTTTGACTAGGGGTCAAAAGAGATAATAAACTGAGCAAACGCAAATTTAGAGTGATAAATAAATTAGAGATAATAAAAATTCCTAAAAGAGATAATAAATTTAATTAGTAATCAAGAACGAAAAAAAGTAAAATTATTATGTTTTCAAAAGAGATAATAGAGAATGGGGTATATATTTTATTCTCATCACAAAAGCAATCAAAATCAGTATCATCGGTTTTTTTTCATGTTCATGTAGAGAATAGTAAGCTTTTCTATGTATTGAACGTTTATAACTTTCAATATCTTTTGTTATGTCATATCGTTGTTTAGCTTCAATAAGCTGTTCTTCATAAATTATACTAGATTTTGCTATTTACTGATTCCATATTTATATAATTGTCGTTTGCACACTGTTTAATTTGATTTTATACACTATTTCATTCGATTTTGTACACTGTACTTAATGATTCTGATTGATTTCATGAGAATAAAATGTGGATACCCACAAGTTTCGTTTGTTTTTTTCATTCTATATTATCTCTTTTGAAAACACAATAATTTTACGTTTTTTTCGTTCTTGATTACTAATTAAATTTATTATCTCTTTTGGGTTTACAAAAATTTCACGTTTTCGTACTATTATCTCTTTTGGGGCCAAGCGCAAATTTTTGATCATTCTATTGTCTTTTTCAGACGAACTGACCTATTCATAGGCAGAACGCAAAAGAGAATTTCTTTTTTGACTAGAATGTTTGAGTGAACATTCAAATACATTCAAACGCATCATTACTATTAACATTTAGCAATTACCTCTTTGTACCAATACATTAATACTTACCGTCTGAAGTAACATGATTCATTTCATTTCCTACATAAAGAACGAAGTATTTTGTACATTTTCTTTTCTTACTTCGGAACTTGTGATAATCTACATCGGACAGCATACATTATGTTCTATAAACTCATGTTAGATCATGGCATTTTTTTCAAGTAGTGATGCCGAATATGGCTTTGGTTTTCTGTAAAAGATGCTTCTAGGCGGAGAAAAATAGATTTTACTTGAAAAACTAAGGATCTTTTGAAAATCTGTGACGAGATTCTGAAACATTTGTGTTATTTTGTGCTGTCTGTATAGCTGCAATATAGATAGAAGACTATTTACGCAAAGCCTAAGATACTTTGAAGGTTGAGATTGAAGGGTTCTCGATTCCACAAAGGAATATCAAATCACAGAATCTGAATATATAGATAACTCGTTGAAACTATCAATGCTAATCTTTTATTTACACGAATCTGTAAAAAGCCAATAAACTTAATACTATCACTATTCTCAAAATAGCGTATTGCTATTCCATGAGAGAAAATAAAGAAAGCAAACTGTTCCAGGTTATCATTTTTTTTGAGAATGAGTGTACGTCTATGTGAAGTCTGAGCATTATACACCGACACCGATATTCACATTCTATCCCATCCCATCCGCTAGACGAAACAAAAATTCATAAATAAACGACATATTTATTTATTTACTAGTAGTTAGTACCTAATCAGCTGCATGGTTATTAGTAAATAGCAACTAGAGTGGTTCCGTCGCTAATAGTAAAGTAAAGATAAAGTATCCTTTACTATTTATATTACCAATACAGTGCAAAAGTGCAAAATGAAATACAATTGACTTTTCTGCTTATCAATCGACTTTTCGCTTAAATTGTTAAAAGATATATATTTTGGAATGACTTCAAGTCTTTATTTCTATTCTCACTGTCTAATAGTTTCTCACTTAAAAGGTAATGATCCTTTCTATAATCATATTCAGTCTACTACGATCATGTGCTTCATACATTTTTTCATTAAATCTATTTTTCTCAGATAAGAAATGATCCATTTTCATAGGTCAGTTCATGGAGTTGAACGATCCTAGAAACTTTATTTGTTGTGCATAAAGATGTTCCTATAGTAAAACAAATGTTTTGTATGCAATGAAGTGTTGCTCTTAA